GTTGAATGATTTCTAGTCTATAAATAACCTACCTATCACGTGACGTGAACAATAACACTTGTCAAGATTTGGTAATAGGAGTTTTATTTTGTTCTAACAAACTAAAATTCAATTCCTTCACATGAGTTATTCCATTAATTAAAATGTAAATACTGTGTTTACTCAATCGTGAATTCTTGAGGATATATCTTGTAAATTTAAATAATTAATTATGTGAACATTAGCCAACTAAAATTTAATTCTTTTACACCAGTTATTCCATTATTTAAAATGTAAATACTATTTTTACTTTATCATGAATTTTTGGAGCTATATCTTGTAAATTTAAATAATTATATACGTAAACATTAACCAAGTGTTAAAATATGGTCCATGCGAGCTGCTCATATATGTGCACACATTGAGCCTACGCTGAGACTAATACCCAGCATTCAAGCATTCTTTTATTGATCCATGTCTTCCGTATTAACACGAACTCAACACTGAAAACAAAAGCTAATGGCTTGACACAAAGAAATCACGGACGATAACCGTGTTATTTCTATGCTGCATCAAACTATAGTACTTAGGTATAACACGGTATATAGATGTACCTCCCCTAACAACTGGACGTGTGTTATAAGTTAGTATCCGTATGATTCTAGGGCTACAGAGACAAACTTATTTGACTTGTTAAAAGAAATAAAAAAATAAAGAAAATAACAAATCTGTTTTATAGTCAAGATTTGAGAAATCGAAAATATTCGCTTGTGGCTTTAACCACTTTTAACAACCGAAATAATTAAAAAAAAATAGCTAAATTACTTGCGATTGAAAACGATTAACAGAATACCAGATAATATACAGTTAGTAAATTAATTTTAAAAAGTATATATTCCGTATTCAAATATATCTCTCATGCTCAAAGTTACATACAGGCTATATTTTATTCGATACTCTGTTATCTCAACTGTGGCTAACATTGCTCTAAAATTACAGTCGTTGATCTGTAGATATTTTTAATAAACTAACAGCTTGCCAGACTAATAACGTAATTGCTTCAAAGTTTTAGGCTTAGAACAAATTTGTATTAATTATTACTTGTCATTAAAGACGGCTCTATACATCCGTTCTCTTGATGTTTCAAAACATCAAAATTATTGATGTATAAAATAAATTAAAAACCGTTAATCGGAATTGATGACGAAGTATGCGATGATCCCCGAGGGCTAAGAATTCCTGAGTCACGATTATTACGTATGCGCGTCGGCGCGCGGATCTAAAAATAGCGTGGTGACGTAGGTAGAGTTAAAAATATGTCAACATTTCCGTTTCAAGCTGACATCCCTTATGCCAGGGACGACCTTTCGATTACATGTTAACTCCACCGTCTGCTAATGGCCTCAACATCTCCCAGCCTCTCTCGACCTGGGGGGAAACAAACATCAAAGAAAATATGTACGTGTGGGGGTGGGAGAAAGGAAGGTGTGTGGGGAGGGGGGGGGAGATTAACAATCTGTTTTGGGTACGCTAAAACTTTCAGACCGATTTTTTTTTCTTTAGGTATCTGATTACAAATTCTGCAACAACAGACAATAATCACTAATTAAAAAGTAAAGTAAAGTAAAGTTCCCCTTTCAAATCTGACGGTCTATAGGGCAAGTGTAGCAGAGTTCACTTGTTTCTGTACCATCAGCACTAGGCCCAGTAGCCTATACTTACTCTAACGTGAGTTAGGTACCCATCAGAGTTGGGTGAACTCAAGGACGGTCTACTGACTTGAACCCGGATTCGAGTCGTGCATGTTAGCAGTCCAGCTCTCTACCGCTAGACCACTACGTCCCACGTTCAGCTCAATGCCACGCCTGAATAACCTGAAACGAAAGTAAAAATAAAAGAAATAATCACCCCTATGCACAATGGTATATCCGTGCCAAAGTTTTAGGGAAAATCCAACACTTCGCTTCCCTTTTTCCAATTTGATGTAGTTTCTATTTTTCTGGAGCGCATGTTCGGCCAAAATGTCTTCTGTTTAAACCGCTGAGCGCGTTGGATCAATCAAATAATCAATACACCCGAACAGTTCAGTTCGATGTTATTGGAAATCCCCGAACAAAACAATCGCACTGAGTACACTCTGCTTTATTGAGTGGAGTACACACCCTCCCTACCCCATCCCTCCCGTCTCTCCCACCCCCGGGATAAGATCAATGTATGTTTGTAGGTTAGCGTTGCAGCACAATTAGGCTTGTTTTTGTGGCTGGTACATAATTAATTGGATATATGACACAAGGCGTTTATGGTGTATGTCTAGAGCGGATGGGCAATAAGGAGGGGTAATGGGTGTGGTAAGTTAAGGGTGACTTGACATTTTATTGGGTGACTTGACATTTGATTGGGTGACTTGACATTTGAGGGGGTGACTTGACATTTGAGTGGGATGACTTGACATTTGAGGAGAGTTCCTAGAGAGAATAATACAGATTTTTTATTGAGGTAGAATAGTGCCTTAATGGAGATTTTAGAATCAAGTAAGAAAAAATAAGTGAATCTGATACACAAAATAATTTATATTTATTTATGTTTCAATATTTCATGGATTGTTTGATTCTTAGAAATGTTCACACATTTTCTAAAATGTGTGTTTTTGAATCGAGGGATCTTAATCACTTTTAACACTAAATGTGAAATAAGATGTTAACAGGATTACAGTTGAAGAAGATTTAATATTATTAACATCCCTCTGTAAGAGGGATAAAAAAAATTCCACATAATTGACAAGTTAATACTGCCTGATCAATGAAACAAACTAAGATAATATAACTTAAGGAAAATTTTTAAAAAAAAAGGGGTTTCTATTTTAGCAATAAATGTGTTTAAATAAGCGGCTTTAAAAAATAATTATTTGGATAACAGTTTAGAATTGATAGTATTATTTAAATATTAATTCTCTTAATCCTTTATGATAATTAACAATCTGCTTAAAGATTTCATAACTTGTACAATAGTGTTTTGTTGACTTAATTTTAATTTTGTTTTACAAGTTGCTTCCCTTGATTAAAAATAAAAAAAAATGGGAGGTTATTTACACAACGATGCTTTTAAATACGCTAGGAATAAAATATTCTAATCTACTTAAATTAAGCGACACAAGTAACTATTTGACATCAGAAAGATCAATAACAATAAACTGGATAAATTAATTTTGTCGTTGCCTTGTTAACGTGAAATACTGTTTATCAAGCCACATACACACATGTACCATCACACACCTGTACCATCACACACCTGTACCATCACACACCTGTACCATCACACACCTATACCATCACACACCACTACCATCACACCCCTGTACCATCACACATCTGTACCATCACACACCTGTACCATCACACACCTGTACCATCACACACCTGTACCATCACACACCTGTACCATCACACACCTGTACCATCACACACCTGTACCATCACACACCACTACCACACGCCTATACTTTAACTTACGTATCGTTGTATAACATTCTTAAGTTTGAAAACGAAAGCATGGATAATCTATACGGTCAAATGTTTGCTATTATCTGTAATATGAGAGTTTAGAGGTCCTTAATTATATTACCCATCCGTCTTTGCATGTGTCAGTGTGTGTTTGAAATCGATACTAAATTATCTATTCATGGCTGGGCAAACAAGGGCTAGCCACTGGCTACCCAAAAATCGCCCGCATATCAAGCTACAGATTGGCTAGCATATGTCCACATAATAGATCATATATAAAGTCATAGACGTTTAAGGAGATCTTTAAGGCAACATAGCTGAGAAAACGACAACAAGGAACAGCGTTGGTGTATTGTGCCAGCCCTAATACACCACGAAAGTGGGAGAGGCGTGTTTAGAATTCAACAAATTCTCTTAACACTTGTCCGAAATTCTCCTCTGGCTCTATCGTGTGTTCCGCTTTGTTTTCGCTCGGCGCGGTATTTACACACACCTAACACAGCGCATGCGCCTACCGGGGAATCGGCTTACGTTGAACGGTCATTCCGTCCCTAAATACCTGAAGATTAAGACCATTCTTTACTGCCCGCTTAGGCGTGATGCCATTGACGGCAGGTAAACGCTCAGGACAAAAGTTTGAAGCATTTATCTGCTAGCGTCCAAAAGTTTCAAAGACATAACTTTAAAAAAAAAAAGGTTCAAGACCAAGACTTTCAGTTCCACAGCTGTGGGTACATACATGAACCGTAATATACATACATGAACCGTAATATACATACATAAAGCATAATAGTTGTGTATTTGTAACCTGTAATACCGGTGGTTTTATTTATAGACGGAGAAGTTGAACTGATTTTTCTTGGATGTTCGCCTCTCAGTTTGACGCTAGTAAGATTTAGAGTAGAGCAATCTTTCAGAGTATAACAGCTGAACAAATTTTAAATGGACATAGATCTATGTATTACTTGAATTACTTGTATATTTATTTACATAAGTATTACATATGTATTAGTCCGTTCCATGAAAAGTTAGCTGTCAAAGCAAGTCAACACAATGGAACAAAAAAACAATCTACACATCGCTGACTCCCCCGTCCTCACCCACCACAATATCCCATTCCCCACCCCATCACAACATCATCTCATCCCCATCCCCACATAGCCCCACCCCCTCGCACTAACGCTAACCTTCGCACTAATTCCCACATTTTAAAATCACGGGACGAAACATGAACTGAGCAGGGAAGACACAAGTAAAATTGGAGCTGGAAGAAAATGGCGCATTAGATTGCCGGCATTAAATTTAAAAACTAAAAAATTAATCTTCGTAGCTTTATTTCTACATTGTTTATTGATAAGTATTGAATTATGCTAAATGTTCCAAAGAGGAACACGTTCAGTTCTGGCGTTTGTATTTCTATTTAGTTCATGTATACCGACCATGAGGTCTTAGATAATAATATATTAACAATTTAAAACTTGTCACCTTCGTCTGCTAACATTTCTCTTTATTTCTCCCCAGACTCGCCGCAAACCGCAGAGTCAACCCATGAATCCACCAGCTCCGGCGTCGCCTCTGACGTCACGTCCGTCTATCCATCCACGCCCGCCATGACGACCTTCAAAGGCGAGTCTGCCGGCTCGGCCAAGTCCATCGGCTCGCAAGACTCCGGCACCAAGAGCGCCTCTCTCTCCAGCTCCCCCAAGCCGGACCCGGCCAGTTTAAAGCAGCACCTCCGCGGCAGCCGTATGTCACCAGCGCCACCTTTGCCGGCTATTCCGGTCGAACCCCCGGGTCTGCCGGTCAAAAATATCCCACGGACGGCAAACACGTTGTCCCCGAATGACTACCACCGAATGAACAAGTATTCGGAATCGCCCACCATTGTTACCAGGGGGAAGAAGAACACACGTGACCGGCGTCCTCGTTTGCCGGAACCGGATGTAGGCGCCATGACAGTCGCTGACGTCAACCGATCACTTTCTCCTCAGACGAACGGTCACAACGGATTTAGTATAAATACATCAGACCCACGTGCAATGGACCCTTCTTTTTATAATGAGATTACCTTGGCCTTTAAAGGTTCCATGCGAGAGGACCCTTACATTGAGGCGTTTAGGGATGACAGGTTCTTAGATCCTCGCAATCCAGATCGTATCCACACTGTTCCCTCCCCCGTGTCTCCAGTCCCGCCCGGGGGGTACTACTACAACAGAGACGTGAGTCCGAATGTTCCAGAACGTTGGTTGGTGCCAGACATGGCTATTAGAGACTCTAGGATACGACACAAGCAACAACAGCATCTTCAGCAACAACAGCTTCAACAACAGCAGCACATACAGCAACAACAACAGCATCTACAACAGCAACAGCAGTTACAACAACAACAACACCTACACCAACTTAGCGCACAGCAAAGACTTCAACATCATCACCAACATCAACAGCAGCAATACCACCAAGACCCCACTCTTCAAACGAGGGCGCCGTCGTGTCCTATAACAAACGATCCAAGCCCCACAACTCTCAACCAAAACCACACACCGTACCCTCACAACGCCCCCCACCCCACCCGAGGCGCATACCCCACCCCCAACCACCTCATCAAGTCAACCACCGTGCCCAGTAAAGCTCTCCAACAGTACCGGAATCAATATAACGATCTTCAACCGGAAACCGGCTTTCAAAATCTCCCGCCCTCCTACTCAAAGTCGAGCCACACCCTCCAGACTCAGGCGCAGGTGCACGCGCAGCAGCCGGAAGTGAGCGCTGATTGGATGAAGTCTGCGCATGCTCAGTCGGACACCCAGCTGCACGTGAACCAGCCCACAAGCACTCGTCAGCTGACCAGCGGGGTCAGAAATTTAAGTCTGTCTCAGGTAATTAATTAATTAATTAATTAACTACTCTTTTTGAGCTGCCAGATGAAGTAGAGTTCACATATTTCTGCGTCATCTGCATGTAAAGGGATAGTGTGGTCTGTACTTTACCTAACCGCCTTTACTTTCTCCAACGTGAGCCAGGTACCCATGAAAGCTGAATTTACTCAGGCATGTCTTAGGGTTCCCGTCTCGGGATCCGAACTGGAGGTTTTCGGGTTAACAGCCTCTACCGGCTATCTAATTAACCTTGAATTTAAAGTTTAAAAACTTAAGTTCTAGTCACTCCCTGACCCCATGGTCGATCCACCAGGTACGGGTTGATGTGACCCACACGGGTCCAGATACTGTACTATCTAAATCTTACTAAGCAACGTGACTTGCACGGGTCCAGATAGTGTACTATCTAAATCTTACTAATGAACTTGCCGAGCTACCTCGGTCGCGTTTGGATTAAACGTACCCAAAGTGTTAGATTAACGGCCACATGTGGATTAAGTTTAAGCTCAAGTTTATTAACGTCCAACTAACATGTGGAAATTGTAATAAGAAATCTTAATGATTGCACTTTTTAATTAGCAAATGGATTAGGATGGGGTTGATTGGTGTTTAGAGTTGAGTGTTTAGTGCAGAGAGATGTAACACAAATTATGCATTGACGTGAAAAGAATAGGCCTACTCGGAAAGAAAAGTGTCTGTTCTTTTAATCAACAGAACTGATGGCTGCTGAACTTGTTGTATGCAAACAGTTGTTGTTGGTTTTTAATTAGCCCATTCGTACATAAGCACGCATAAAAATCGGATCATATCTACAATTAACTTATAAATCAGTGCACATAAAACCCGCCATATTCCACATATAACATCCATCAAGTCGCTGCATGCTATTTACATTCCCATATATAGGTGACCCATATGATGATATCAATAAAATATATTTACCCCCCCCCCCCCTTCCCCCCCCCCCCCCCCCTCACCACGCACACACGCTGCCTGGACAGACTTTTTATCTCCATGTTGACGCCAAAAGTTTAACATATCCCATCTATGTTCCAAAAGTTTACCATATCCCATCTATATTCCAAAAGTTTACCTTATCCCATCTATATTCCAAAAGTTTAACATATCCCATCTATGTTCCAAAAGTTTACCCTATCCCATCTATATTCCAAAAGTTTACCCTATCCCATCTATGTTCCAGAAGTTTACCATATCCCATCAATATTCTATCAACCCACCATATCCCATGTTTGATCTGCCTTCTTCCCCCACAGAATGACGTCAGCGCGGGCATCACCGTCAAGGGCAAGCGTCAGATGTCAAGGTCATGTCCCTTTGAATCACTGCCCAACGAGCTTCTTCTCAAGATCTTTCTCAACCTGCCCACTGACCACCTCTGCAGGTGTGCCCAGGTACTGGTCACTTTGTTTGGGACTTTTCCGTTTGAGGGGACCGTGAAGATAGGAAACTCACGGCGTTTAACATATCGATACCTAAAATTATGTCGATAACTTAATTGATATCGATACCTTACATGGTATGGATACCTAAAAACTATACCGATACTTCAACGATTATGAACTTTCAAATGTTATTAATGCTAAAAGATTACATGTATTCTTTTGAATGTTATTGGTACGTATGCTAGCCTTAAAGAATGTTATGATTTCAGTCAGTATATAGATATAGTGATATTTCTGGCTACGTTGGTGTTGAAGCCAAATAAGTACTGCCTTGAGACCCATACAGAAACTACGAAAAAATCCACATCGCCCGGCAGTTGAAGTAGAATCCACCTGTTTCTTTGCCTTTAGCAAGTTTAAAAAATGTATGGTCAGTACTATATAGAGACGCGTTTGCCTTCCCCGAAGTTGAGTCGGGTACCCATCATAGCTGAGTGGACTCAGGGACGTCCTACTGACTCAAGCCCAATTAGCATTCGTGTTTGACTAGGGATGTTCAATAGACAGAACCGTAGCCTCCCCAAAAAATGTTCTATAGACAGAACCGTAGCCTCCCCAAAAAATGTTCTATAGACAGAACCGTAGCCTCCCCAATAAATGTTCAATAGACATAACCGTAGCCTCCCCAATAAATGTTCAATAGACAGAACCGTAGCCTCCCCAAAAAATGTTCAATAGACAGAACCGTAGCCTCCCCAAAAAATGTTCTATAGACAGAACCGTAGCCTCCCCAATAAATGTTCAATAGACATAACCGTAGCCTCCCCAATAAATGTTCAATAGACAGAACCGTAGCCTCCCCAAAAAATGTTCAATAGACAGAACCGTAGCCTCCCCAAAAAATGTTCTATAGACAGAACCGTAGCCTCCCCAAAAAATGTTCTATAGACAGAACCGTAGCCTCCCCAAAAAATGTTCTATAGACAGAACCGTAGCCTCCCCAAAAAATGTTCAATAGACAGAACCGTAGCCTCCCCAAAAAATGTTCAATAGACAGAACCGTAGCCTCCCCAAAAAATGTTCAATAGACAGAACCGTAGCCTCCCCAAAAAATGTTCAATAGACAGAACCGTAGCCTCCCCAAAAAATGTTCAATAGACAGAACCGTAGCCTCCCCAAAAAATGTTCAATAGACAGAACCGTAGCCTCCCCAAAAAATGTTCAATAGACAGAACCGTAGCCTCACCAAAAAATGTTCTATAGACAGAACCGTAGCCTCCCCAAAAAATGTTCTATAGACAGAACCGTAGCCTCCCCAAAAAATGTTCTATAGACAGAACCGTAGCCTCCCCAAAAAATGTTCTATAGACAGAACCGTAGCCTCACCAAAAAATGTTCTATAGCCAGAACCGTAGCCTCACCAAAAAATGTTCTATAGCCAGAACCGTAGCCTCCCCAAAAAATGTTCTATAGCCAGAACCGTAGCCTCCCCAAAAAATGTTCTATAGACAGAACCGTAGCCTCCCCAAAAAATGTTCTATAGACAGAACCGTAGCCTCCCCAAAAAATGTTATATAGCCAGAACCGTAGCCTCCCCAAAAAATGTTCTATAGACAGAACCGTAGCCTCCCCAAAAAATGTTCTATAGACAGAACCGTAGCCTCCCCAAAAAATGTTCTATAGACAGAACCGTAGCCTCCCAAAAAAATGTTCTATAGACAGAACCGTAGCCTCCCCAAAAAATGTTCTATAGACAGAACCGTAGCCTCCCCAAAAAATGTTCTATAGACAGAACCGTAGCCTCCCCAAAAAATGTTCTATAGACAGAACCGTAGCCTCCCCAAAAAATGTTCTATAGACAGAACCGTAGCCTCCCCGAAAAATGTTCTATAGACAGAACCGTAGCCTCCCCGAAAAATGTTCTATAGACAGAACCGTAGCCTCCCCAAAAAATGTTCTATAGACAGAACCGTAGCCTCCCCAAAAAATGTTCTATAGACAGAACCGTAGCCTCCCCAAAAAATGTTCTATAGACAGAACCGTAGCCTCCCCAAAAAATGTTCTATAGACAGAACCGTAGCCTCCCCAAAAAATGTTCTATAGACAGAACCGTAGCCTCCCCAAAAAATGTTCTATAGACAGAACCGTAGCCTCCCCGAAAAATGTTCTATAGACAGAACCGTAGCCTCCCAAAAAAATGTTCTATAGACAGAACCGTAGCCTCCCCAAAAAATGTTCTATAGACAGAACCGTAGCCTCCCCAAAAAATGTTCTATAGACAGAACCGTAGCCTCCCCGAAAAATGTTCTATAGACAGAACCGTAGCCTCCCCAAAAAATGTTCTATAGACAGAACCGTAGCCTCCCCGAAAAATGTTCTATAGACAGAACCGTAGCCTCCCCGAAAAATGTTCTATAGACAGAACCGTAGCCTCCCCAAAAAATGTTCTATAGACAGAACCGTAGCCTCCCCAAAAAATGTTCTATAGACAGAACCGTAGCCTCCCCAAAAAATGTTCTATAGACAGAACCGTAGCCTCCCCAAAAAATGTTCTATAGACAGAACCGTAGCCTCCCCAAAAAATGTTCTATAGACAGAACCGTAGCCTCCCCAAAAATGTTCTATAGACAGAACCGTAGCCTCCCCAAAAATGTTCTATAGACAGAACCGTAGCCTCCCCAAAAAATGTTCTATAGACAGAACCGTAGCCTCCCCAAAAAATGTTCTATAGACAGAACCGTAGCCTCTCCAAAAAATGTTCTATAGACAGAACCGTAGCCTCCCCGAAAAATGTTCTATAGACAGAACCGTAGCCTCCCCAAAAAATGTTCTATAGACAACCGTAGCCTCTCCAAAAATGTTCTATAGACAGAACCGTAGCCTCCCCAAAAAATGTTCTATAGACAGAACCGTAGCCTCCCCGAAAAATGTTCTATAGACAGAACCGTAGCCTCCCCGAAAAATGTTCTATAGACAGAACCGTAGCCTCACCAAAAAATGTTCTATAGACAGAACCGTAGCCTCCCCAAAAAATGTTCTATAGACAGAACCGTAGCCTCCCCAAAAAATGTTCTATAGACAGAACCGTAGCCTCCCCAAAAAATGTTCTATAGACAGAACCGTAGCCTCCCCAAAAATGTTCTATAGACAGAACCGTAGCCTCCCCAAAAATGTTCTATAGACAGAACCGTAGCCTCCCCAAAAAATGTTCTATAGACAGAACCGTAGCCTCCCCAAAAAATGTTCTATAGACAGAACCGTAGCCTCTCCAAAAAATGTTCTATAGACAGAACCGTAGCCTCCCCGAAAAATGTTCTATAGACAGAACCGTAGCCTCCCCAAAAAATGTTCTATAGACAACCGTAGCCTCTCCAAAAATGTTCTATAGACAGAACCGTAGCCTCCCCAAAAAATGTTCTATAGACAGAACCGTAGCCTCCCCGAAAAATGTTCTATAGACAGAACCGTAGCCTCCCCGAAAAATGTTCTATAGACAGAACCGTAGCCTCACCAAAAAATGTTCTATAGACAGAACCGTAGCCTCCCCAAAAAATGTTCTATAGACAGAACCGTAGCCTCCCCAAAAAATGTTCTATAGACAGAACCGTAGCCTCCCCAAAAAATGTTCTATAGACAGAACCGTAGCCTCCCCAAAAAATGTTCTATAGACAGAACCGTAGCCTCCCCAAAAATGTTCTATAGACAGAACCGTAGCCTCCCCAAAAATGTTCTATAGACAGAACCGTAGCCTCCCCAAAAAATGTTCTATAGACAGAACCGTAGCCTCCCCAAAAAATGTTCTATAGACAGAACCGTAGCCTCTCCAAAAAATGTTCTATAGACAGAACCGTAGCCTCCCCGAAAAATGTTCTATAGACAGAACCGTAGCCTCCCCAAAAAATGTTCTATAGACAACCGTAGCCTCTCCAAAAATGTTCTATAGACAGAACCGTAGCCTCCCCAAAAAATGTTCTATAGACAGAACCGTAGCCTCCCCGAAAAATGTTCTATAGACAGAACCGTAGCCTCCCCGAAAAATGTTCTATAGACAGAACCGTAGCCTCACCAAAAAATGTTCTATAGACAGAACCGTAGCCTCCCCAAAAAATGTTCTATAGACAGAACCGTAGCCTCCCCAAAAAATGTTCTATAGACAGAACCGTAGCCTCCCCAAAAAATGTTCTATAGACAGAACCGTAGCCTCCCCAAAAATGTTCTATAGACAGAACCGTAGCCTCCCCAAAAATGTTCTATAGACAGAACCGTAGCCTCCCCAAAAAATGTTCTATAGACAGAACCGTAGCCTCCCCAAAAAATGTTCTATAGACAGAACCGTAGCCTCTCCAAAAAATGTTCTATAGACAGAACCGTAGCCTCCCCGAAAAATGTTCTATAGACAGAACCGTAGCCTCCCCAAAAAATGTTCTATAGACAACCGTAGCCTCTCCAAAAATGTTCTATAGACAGAACCGTAGCCTCCCCAAAAAATGTTCTATAGACAGAACCGTAGCCTCCCCGAAAAATGTTCTATAGACAGAACCGTAGCCTCCCCGAAAAATGTTCTATAGACAGAACCGTAGCCTCACCAAAAAATGTTCTATAGACAGAACCGTAGCCTCCCCAAAAAATGATATATAGACAGAACCGTAGCCTCCCCAAAAAATGTTCTATAGACAGAACCGTAGCCTCCCCAAAAAATGCTCCCAAGGAATTCGCTTTGTAAATTTGCGCGTTGAGTTATAAAAGAAGTCAGTGTCGTTTTTATTTCTAAGGCAAATGTTTAAATTTTGCCTTCAGTGTTAAACTATGCGTTTAATGTTGACTATTCTTTTAATGTTAACTATTCATTTAATGTTAATTTTGCGTTTAATGTAAATTTAGATTATATTAATTTACGTTACTCGCAGTAAACTGTACTGTCACTTTATTATAATCACACATTTCTGTAAATGTTAGATTGATAACTAATGACGATACAAACGTTGGTCTACATTAATGTTCACTCAAAGCTTTGCGGCCGCGCAGTCATTTTGTAAAATGCAAATACTCACGACGTATAACATAAAGATACCTTAAATGATACCTTAAATGACTAAAATTTTCGGGGGGAGGGGGGGGGGTAGACGTTTTTCGACCTCCCCCCCTCACTGAAGAGATGCCTGGATGAAACTCTGGTGTTACTGTCTGTGAACTCAGCATGCTACTCTCACTTTCCCACTGTCTGTGAACTGACCATGCTACTCTCTCCTCATTGTCTGTGAACTGACCATGCTACTCTCTCCTCACTTTCCCACTGTCTGTGAACTGACCATGCTACTCTCTCCTCACTTTCCCACTGTCTGTGAACTGATAATGCTACTCTCTCCTCATTGTCTGTGAACTCAGCATGCTACTCTCTCCTCTCTGTATGTGAACTCACCATGCTACTCTCTCCTCATTGTCTGTGAACTCAGCATGCTACTCTCTCCTCATTGTCTGTGAACTCACCATGCTACTCTCTCCTCTCTGCCAGGTCTGTCGTCACTGGTACAACGCCGTGTGGGACCACCCAGTCCTCTGGACCTCCATCGTCATCAACAACCCCAACCTTGACATTGACAAGGCCTTGAAGTACCTCACCCGGAGACTCAGCTACAACACGCCCAAGGTGAAGGTCACTGACCGATGTTTACCATTATAAATCAACGTATACTCGCTTCGATAACCCGCGTTTTTAGTATGGAGTTCCTTTTCAAATGTCCAAGATCAAATATTCCCTAAACAAATGTTCCCTAGACAAATGTTCCCTAAACAAATTTCCATGAAAATTATTTTCCAAAGATGTTCAAATTACATATTAAATGTTCTCTGAACAAGTATCCAATACTCTAAAATCCCCTGAACAAATTCCCAAGAACCATCCCTCCAACCACCCCAAGAACCAGCCCTCTAACCACCCCAAGAACCAGCCCTCTAACCATCCCAAGAACCAGCCCTCTAACCATTAAACTCCCAAGAACCAGCCCTCTAACCATTAAACTCCCAAGAACCATCCCTCCAACCACCCCAAGAACCATCCCTCCAACCACCCCAAGAACCATCCCTCCAACCACCCCAAGAACCATCCCTCCAACCACCCCAAGAACCAGCCCTCTAACCACCCCAAGAACCAGCCCTCTAACCACCCCAAGAACCAGCCCTCTAACCACCCCAAGAACCAGCCCTCTAACCACCCCAAGAACCAGCCCTCTAACCACCCCAAGAACCATCCCAAGAACCAGCCCTCTAACCATCCCAAGAACCAGCCCTCTAACCATTAAATTCCCAAGAACCAGCCCTCTAACCACCCCAAGAACCAGCCCTCTAACCACCCCAAGAACCAGCCCTCTAACCACCCCAAGAACCAGCCCTCTAACCATCCCAAGAACCAGCCCTCTAACCATTAAACTCCCAAGAACCAGCCCTCTAACCATCCCAAGAACCAGCCCTCTAACCATCCCAAGAACCAGCCCTCTAACCATTAAACTCCCAAGAACCATCCCTCTAACCATTAAACTCCCAAGAACCAGCCCTCTAACCATCCCAAGAACCAGCCCTCTAACCATCCCAAGAACCAGCCCTCTAACAATTAAACTCCCAAGAACCAGCCCTCTAACCATCCCAAGAACCAGCCCTCTAACCATCCCAAGAACCAGCCCTCTAACCATTAAACTCCCAAGAACCAGCCCTCTAACCACCCCAAGAACCAGCCCTCTAACCACCCCAAGAACCATCCCAAGAACCAGCCCTCTAACCATCCCAAGAACCAGCCCTCTAACCATTAAACTCCCAAGAACCATCCCTCTAACCATTAAACTCCCAAGAACCAGCCCTCTAACCATCCCAAGAACCAGCCCTCTAACCATCCCAAGAACCAGCCCTCTAACCATTAAACTCCCAAGAACCAGCCCTCTAACCATCCCAAGAACCAGCCCTCTAACCATCCCAAGAACCAGCCCTCTAACCATTAAACTCCCAAGAACCAGCCCTCTAACCACCCCAAGAACCAGCCCTCTAACCACCCCAAGAACCAGCCCTCTAACCATCCCAAGAACCAGCCCTCTAACCATTAAACTCCCAAGAACCAGCCCTCTAACCATCCCAAGAACCAGCCCTCTAACCATCCCAAGAACCAGCCCTCTAACCATTAAACTCCCAAGAACCATCCCTCTAACCATTAAACTCCCAAGAACCAGCCCTCTAACCATCCCAAGAACCAGCCCTCTAACCATCCCAAGAACCAGCCCTCTAACCATTAAACTCCCAAGAACCAGCCCTCTAACCATCCCAAGAACCAGCCCTCTAACCATCCCAAGAACCAGCCCTCTAACCATTAAACTCCCAAGAACCAGCCCTCTAACCACCCCAAGAACCAGCCCTCTAACCACCCCAAGAACCAGCCCTCTAACCACCCCAAGAACCAGCCCTCTAACCATCCCAAGAACCAGCCCTCTAACCATTAAACTCCCAAGAACCAGCCCTCTAACCACCCCAAGAACCAGCCCTCTAACCACCCCAAGAACCAGCCCTTTAACCAGCCCTCTAACCATTAAACTCCCAAGAACCAGCCCTCTAACCATCCCAAGAACCAGCCCTCTAACCATCCCAAGAACCAGCCCTCTAACCATCCCAAGAACCAGCCCTCTAACCACCCCAAGAACCAGCCCTCTAACCACCCCAAGAACCAGCCCTCTAACCATCCCAAGAACCAGCCCTCTAACCACCCCAAGAACCAGCCCTCTAACCACCCCAAGAACCAGCCCTCTAACCATCCCAAGAACCAGCCCTCTAACCATCCCAAGAACCAGCCCTCTAACCACCCCAAGAACCAGCCCTCTAACCACCCCAAGAACCAGCCCTCTAACCATCCCAAGAACCAGCCCTCTAACCATCCCAAGAACCAGCCCTCTAACCATTAAACTCCCAAGAACCAGCCCTCTAACCATTAAACTCCCAAGAACCAGCCCTCTAACCACCCCAAGAACCAGCCCTCTAACCACCCCAAGAACCAGCCCTCTAACCATCCCAAGAACCAGCCCTCTAACCATCCCAAGAACCAGCCCTCTAACCATTAAACTCCCAAGAACCAGCCCTCTAACCACCCCTCTAACCATCCCTCTAACCAGCCCTCTAACCACCCCAAGAACCAGCCCTCTAACCACCCCAAGAACCAGCCCTCTAACCACCCCAAGAACCAGCCCTCTAACCACCCCAAGAACCAGCCCTCTAACCACCCCAAGAACCAGCCCTCTAACCACCCCAAGAACCAGCCCTCTAACCACCCCAAGAACCAGCCCTCTAACCATTAAACTCCCAAGAACCAGCCCTCTAACCATCCCAAGAACCAGCCCTCTAACCATCCCAAGAACCAGCCCTCTAACCACCCCAAGAACCATCCCTCTAACCACCCCAAGAACCAGCCCTCTAACCACCCCAAGAACCAGCCCTCTAACCACCCCAAGAACCAGCCCTCTAACCACCCCAAGAACCAGCCCTCTAACCACCCCAAGAACCAGCCCTCTAACCACCCCAAGAACCAGCCCTCTAACCACCCCAAGAACCAGCCCTCTAACCACCCCAAGAACCAGCCCTCTAACCATCCCAAGAACCAGCCCTCTAACCATTAAACTCCCAAGAACCAGCCCTCTAACCATCCCAAGAACCAGCCCTCTAACCACCCCAAGAACCAGCCCTCTAACCACCCCAAGAACCAGCCCTCTAACCATTAAACTCCCAAGAACCAGCCCTCTAACCATTAAACTCCCAAGAACCAGCCCTCTAACCACCCCAAGAACCAGCCCTCTAACCACCCCAAGAACCAGCCCTCTAACCACCCCAAGAACCAGCCCTCTAACCACCCCAAGAACCAGCCCTCTAACCACCCCAAGAACCAGCCCTCTAACCATTAAACTCCCAAGAACCAGCCCTCTAACCATCCCAAGAACCAGCCCTCTAACCATCCCAAGAACCAGCCCTCTAACCACCCCAAGAACCATCCCTCTAACCACCCCAAGAACCAGCCCTCTAACCACCCCAAGAACCAGCCCTCTAACCACCCCAAGAACCAGCCCTCTAACCACCCCAAGAACCAGCCCTCTAACCACCCCAAGAACCAGCCCTCTAACCACCCCAAGAACCAGCCCTCTAACCACCCCAAGAACCAGCCCTCTAACCATCCCAAGAACCAGCCCTCTAACCATTAAACTCCCAAGAACCAGCCCTCTAACCATTAAACTCCCAAGAACCAGCCCTCTAACCACCCCAAGAACCAGCCCTCTAACCACCCCAAGAACCAGCCCTCTAACCACCCCAAGAACCAGCCCTCTAACCACCCCAAGAACCAGCCCTCTAACCACCCCAAGAACCAGCCCTCTAACCACCCCAAGAACCAGCCCTCTAACCACCCCAAGAACCAGCCCTCTAACCATCCCAAGAACCAGCCCTCTAACCATTAAACTCCCAAGAACCAGCCCTCTAACCATTAAACTCCCAAGAACCAGCCCTCTAACCATTAAACTCCCAAGAACCAGCCCTCTAACCATTAAACTCCCAAGAACCAGCCCTCTAACCACCCCAAGAACCAGCCCTCTAACCATTAAACTCCCAAGAACCAGCCCTCTAACCACCCCAAGAACCAGCCCTCTAACCATCCCAAGAACCAGCCCTCTAACCATTAAACTCCCAAGAACCAGCCCTCTAACCATCCCAAGAACCAGCCCTCTAACCACCCCAAGAACCAGCCCTCTAACCATCCCAAGAACCAGCCCTTTAACCAGCCCTCTAACCATTAAACTCCCAAGAACCAGCCCTCTAACCATCCCAAGAACCAGCCCTCTAACCATCCCAAGAACCAGCCCTTTAACCATTAAACTCCCAAGAACCAGCCCTCTAACCATCCCTCTAACCACCCCAAGAACCATCCCTCTAACCATCCCAAAGAACCAGCCCTCTAACCATCCCAAGAACCATCCCTCTAACCATCCCTCTAACCATCCCAAGAACCATCCCTCTAACAATCCCTCTAACCATCCCAAGAACCAGCCCTCTAACCATCCCTCTAACCATCCCTCTAACCATCCCAAGAACCATCCCTCTAACCATCCCTATGACCATCCCTCTAACCATCTCGTATGTTCCAGATTTGCATGATCGTGGAGAAGATTAACGTCAACATGTGCTGCCAGCTCACGGACCGCGGGCTGCAGACGGCCGTCAAGCGGTGCCCAGAGCTCCGGTACCTGGACATGCAGGGGTGCCACCTGGTGACCAATGTCGGCGTCACGGAGGCCGTGTCCAGGTGTGTCAACCTGGAGCGGCTGGACGTCACAGGTAGCACTTCTGTTGTTTGTAGCACCACATTAATTGTATTTTTTAATTAAATGTTAAATAATTAGTGACGTTATATCTCACCTCACCTTTCCACGTTATACCTGACCTCACCTGTCCATGTTATACCTGACCTCACCTGTCCACGTTATACCTGACCACACCTGTCCATGTTATACCTGACCTCACCTGTCCATGTTATACCTGACCTCACCTGTCCACCTTATATCTGACCTCACCTGTCCATGTTATACCTGACCTCACCTGTCCATGTTATACCTGACCTCACCTGTCCATGTTATACCTGACCTCACCTGTCCACCTTATACCTGACCTCACCTGTCTACCTTATATCTGAACACCCGTCCACGTTATACCTGACCTCACCTGTCCACCTTATATCTGACCTCACCTGTCCACATTATACCTGACCTCACCTGTCCACTTTATACCTGACCTCACCTGTCCACGTTATACCTGACCTCACCTGTCCACTTTATACCTGACCTCACATCACCTGTCCACGTTATATCTGACCTCACCTGTCCACGTTATATCTGACCTCACCTGTCCACGTTATACCTGACCTCACCTGTCCATGTTATACCTGACCTCACCCGTCCACGTTATACCTGACCTCACCTGTCCACGTTATACCTGACCTCACCTGTCCACGTTATACCTGACCTCACCTGTCCACGTTATACCTGACCTCACCTGTCCACCTTATACCTGACCTCACCTGTCCACCTTATACCTGACCTCACCTGTCCACCTTATACCTGACCTCACCTGTCCACCTTATACCTGACCTCACCTGTCCATGTTATATCTGACCTCACCTGTCCACGTTATACCTGACCTCACCTGTCCACCTTATACCTGACCTCACCTGTCCACGTTATACCTGACCTCACATCACCTGTCCACCTTATACCTGACCTCACCTGTCCACGTTATACCTGACCTCACCTGTCCACCTTATATCTGACCTCACCTGTCCATGTTATACCTGACCTCACCTGTCCACGTTATACCTGACCTCACCTGTCCACGTTATACCTGACCTCACCTGTCCACCTTATACCTGACCTCACCTGTCAACCTGGAGCGGCTGGACGTCACAGGTAGCACTTCTGTTGTTTGTAGCACCACATTAATTGTATTTTTTAATTAAATGTTAAATAATTAGTGACGTTATATCTCACCTCACCTTTCCACGTTATACCTGACCTCACCTGTCCATGTTATACCTGACCTCACCTGTCCACGTTATACCTGACCACACCTGTCCATGTTATACCTGACCTCACCTGTCCATGTTATACCTGACCTCACCTGTCCACCTTATATCTGACCTCACCTGTCCATGTTATACCTGACCTCACCTGTCCATGTTATACCTGACCTCACCTGTCCATGTTATACCTGACCTCACCTGTCCACCTTATACCTGACCTCACCTGTCTACCTTATATCTGAACACCCGTCCACGTTATACCTGACCTCACCTGTCCACCTTATATCTGACCTCACCTGTCCACATTATACCTGACCTCACCTGTCCACTTTATACCTGACCTCACCTGTCCACGTTATACCTGACCTCACCTGTCCACTTTATACCTGACCTCACATCACCTGTCCACGTTATATCTGACCTCACCTGTCCACGTTATATCTGACCTCACCTGTCCACGTTATACCTGACCTCACCTGTCCATGTTATACCTGACCTCACCCGTCCACGTTATACCTGACCTCACCTGTCCACGTTATACCTGACCTCACCTGTCCACGTTATACCTGACCTCACCTGTCCACGTTATACCTGACCTCACCTGTCCACCTTATACCTGACCTCACCTGTCCACCTTATACCTGACCTCACCTGTCCACCTTATACCTGACCTCACCTGTCCACCTTATACCTGACCTCACCTGTCCATGTTATATCTGACCTCACCTGTCCACGTTATACCTGACCTCACCTGTCCACCTTATACCTGACCTCACCTGTCCACGTTATACCTGACCTCACATCACCTGTCCACCTTATACCTGACCTCACCTGTCCACGTTATACCTGACCTCACCTGTCCACCTTATATCTGACCTCACCTGTCCATGTTATACCTGACCTCACCTGTCCACGTTATACCTGACCTCACCTGTCCACGTTATACCTGACCTCACCTGTCCACCTTATACCTGACCTCACCTGTCCACGTTATACCTGACCTCACCTCACCTGTCCATGTTATACCTGACCTCACCTGTCCACGTTATACCTGACCTCACCTGTCCACGTGATGTCTGACCTCACCTGTCCACCTTATACCTGACCTCACCTGTCCATGTTATACCTGACCTCACCTGTCCATGTTATACCTGACCTCACCTGTCCACGTTATACCTGACCTCACCTGTCCACCTTATATCTGACCTCACCTGTCCATGTTATACCTGACCTCACCTGTCCACGTTATACCTGACCTCACCTGTCCACGTTATACCTGACCTCACCTGTCCACCTTATACCTGACCTCACCTGTCCACGTTATACCTGACCTCACCTCACCTGTCCATGTTATACCTGACCTCACCTGTCCACGTTATACCTGACCTCACCTGTCCACGTGATGTCTGACCTCACCTGTCCACCTTATACCTGACCTCACCTGACCTCACCTGTCTACGTTATACCTGACCTCACCTGTCCACTGTTTCCCCAGGATGCCCCCAGGTGACCTGCATCTCCCTGACCGACTCGCTGATGACCCTGAGCTCGCCCCACCACCTGGAGCGGATCTACCTGCGTTACCTGGACATGACCGACTGCCCCCACGTGACCGACGAGGATCTGTTCGTCATCACCTCCCAGTGCACCCAGCTGCTCTTCTTCTACCTGCGCAGGTGTCCCCACATCACTGACCTGGGCGTCAATTATATAGCCACTAACTGCAGCAGGTACGTGCACATTTCTCCATTAATCCAAGTAGACAATCTACGGTCTAAGGGAAATAACTCAGTTTTTTTTGTAATTTTCATTGTTACGACCCTTTGTAAAAAAACATGATTTTAGTATTTTAAGTGTTTGATATATATAAGGCCTATATATATATATATATATATATATATATATATATATATATATATATATATATATATATATATATATATATATATATATATATATGCATTTTAGTTCATATTCCTACTGATAGACTTATAGACATACACTTATGAGTAGCCATGGAAAAGGGCACTAACTGTTTGTTTACTGTTATTGTAGTCTAAGGGAGCTCAGTCTGAGTGACTGCACCAATGTCACTGACCTCGGCATGAGAGAGCTGACCAGACTGAGGGACAACCTGCGGTACCTGAGTGTGGCCAAGTGCGAGAAGGTCAGTTGCTGTATAACCTTGTTCACCAGTCTAGGTGCTTCAAGACATAACTACCTGTTCACTACTTTCTAAACCTTTCCTTGATTTTTGAAATGTGTCATTATTTTATTGCTACATTTCTGGAGATAGAAATTAAATTCGGCATATAATCTATCCTGAACATAAACTGCATAATGCATTAAAAAGTGTTATTACTTATTTACTTGATTACACTGAATCAGAAGTATGAAAATTACTCAAATTTTTAAAAAAATCTTTTTTATGTCTTGCCTATATATTTATTTATCTTGTTGTTGCCTTGTTTAGAAGTTCTTGCTACCTGTTATAACCATATTTCTACCTTGCTAAAATCTTACTTGTACCTAAATAATACCTTGTTTCTTTCTTGTTCTTAATTTATTAATACCTTTTCTTAATGCTATTTCTAACTTGTTAGTACCTTATTTATACCATATTTACATCTGATTTATACTTAATTAACCCTTTTCTACCTGCCACCTGTCAGGTGTCAGACGAAGGTGTGATCCACATCGCCAGAAGCTGCAGCAAGCTGCGCTACCTGAACGTGCGGGGGTGTGAGGCCTTCTCCGACATCGGCCTGGAGTTTGTCGCCAGGAACTGTCCACGAATTCGCTCCCTTGACATCGGCAAATGTGACATAACAGACGAGGGGATGTACATCCTGGCCAGGTACTGCCCAAACTTGAGGAAGCTGGGGATCAAATCCTGCGACGGCATCACAGACAAAGGGATTGTGTTGCTGGCGTACGGGTGTTCTGCGCTGCAGCAGCTGATTGTGTCTGACTGTTGTCTTTCCCCTGATGCGTACGCTATCATAAGGAAGTATTGTAAGAAAGCCATCATAGAACATACAAACCCTGGAGTTTTGTAATAGGACAATGATAGCACAACATGGGCTTCAATGTTTACATGAATGTGGGATGGGAAAAAAGTTTTGTAGAAATGTTGAGGTTTAGAAGTGGAAAGTGGCAAGAGATTCTGAACTACAATTAGAGTCTTAGAGTAATGGAACTGTTACATTGTGTTTGTGATTGACTGGTCATACACTTAGCCAACACCTAACATAAGCAGTTGATGAGCAGTGTGAGGGTTGTATGGCTTCATACTGTTGTGTGAGGATTACATCATAGCTATGTGCTGTTAAGATGGTGTAAGCATTACATATTTGTGTTGTGCTGATGGTGTAAGCATTTCATGGCTACCCATGTAGCATATTATTTATTATGGCAGCCATAAGTGACAAAAGACGTAAGGTGTGTATATCCACAAGTAGAAGGGAGCATAAAAACACATGCAAGCTTGCAGTTGTAGCAGAATGGCAACATTAAGCATTAGAAGGATCTACTGCATAATACATTCCTGACTCAGATCAAAGGACTGAACAAATCATGTTTTGTTGTTGTTACTTTACTTATTCATTACTTAATATTTATTTTTGTTACTTCAGAATTGTACCTAGTACGATGGATGAATGAATTATGATGAGTGAATGAACTCTGAAGATTAAATGAATGAAGTTGATTAAACTATTTGCTTTTTGTAGAGAACAAGATTTGTTTTAATTCAAACAAAGGGCATTGTCAGGAATCAGTTGATGTGTCAGTGTAAGAGTAGGTGTAAACTTGGGCATATGCCCAATATGTATATATGGTGTAGATGTGAACTAGCACATATGCAGGTGTGGATGGGGGCATATGCCTGTGTGTGGTGTTTGTGTAAATGAATGCATATGCCCATGTGTGCTGTATGTGTGAATGAGGGCATATGCTCAATGTACAGTATATGCATGAACTAGGGCATATGCCCAATGTTGGGTGTATGTGTCTATAGACAACGATTGCTGTACAAACAGCATAGAATATCTAGTATGATTATATATCATAGTCTTGAATGGGCATATGTCATATGCCAGAGCTTGTGCCATATGGATATGCCAGAGCTAGTGCCATATGGATGTATGTAAATGTGGATGGGAGAGATCTGGTTTTATACAGGATCAGTAATCAAGTATGTGGTGTAGTTTACAGTGGTGTTAATATAGTGCATAGGATTGTTGATAACAGGGTTCAGTGATGTGAATAGTGCATAGCAATGTTGATACAGGGTTAGTGATGTGAATAGTGCATAGCAATGTTGATACAGGGTTCAGTGATGTGAATAGTGCATAGCAATGTTGATACAGGGTTCAGTGATGTGAATAGTGCATAGCAATGTTGATACAGGGTTCAGTGATGTCAATATAGTGCATAGGATTGATTATACAGGGTTCAGTGATGTGAAAATAGTGCATAGCAATGTTGATACAGGGTTCAGTGATGTCAATATAGTGCATAGGATTGATCATACACGGTTCAGTGATGTGAAAATAGTGCATAGCAATGTTGATACAGGGTTCAGTGATGTCAATATAGTGCATAGGATTGATTATACAGGGTTCAGTGATGTGAAAATAGTGCATAGCAATGTTGATACAGGGTTTAGTGATATCAACACTGTGGGTTATGTGTAGAGGTTGTATCACACATCACATGAACCTGTATGTTTGATGTCAGACCTCCCTCTCCCCATGTGCTCATGTTGTGATGTCTATTATAAAGTTTTCTTTAATCTACATGTCGTATTGTCGTCTAAACATATGTTGTTATCTGCCATCGAGCTGACTCAGCTAAATAAAAATTCTACCGGGACTAACACTGACAAGTCAAGATTCTTTCGACAACTGTTAAACATTTTATGTATACCTTACTGAAACATTCCACATTTCATTATCTTGGCAAACGCAACTGTTTAAATGTTTTATACCATTTTTTCTGAAACATTCCACTTATCTTACTGTGATGGGCTGAAACTGTTTTGTTTTGTAAAAAAAGTAATGTAACCATATTATGTTAATGGTTTTAAAAGATGAGATGTAGGGATACATTTTCTGATAAAAAGTAGTGCCTAAATATATTCATAAAGTTAATTTATTTTCAACTAAATATTTTGAAATTTCTAAATTATTTTATGAGAATAATTTTTTGTAAAATGTATTTATCTCTTTCACAAAATGATATTTTAAAAAAAGGATGCATTTGATGTCATTTTCTAAGTTATTGTATTATTTTTAAGGCAAAATTCAAGTGACCTTTGACCTAGTGAGGATTCAGGCAGAGAATTTAGATGCCTATATCATTGCCTTGACAGTGTAACCTTTCAGAAAATATTTTGTCATCAATTCACTGTTGTTCTATCATTATTAAAATGGGCAGCTTGTAGCTATGTTGATATTTTTTATGAACAGAATTTCTGATAAAACATTTGTTGTCTTTATTTGTAAGAACACTGAGCCAATCAAAGCATTCAAAAAAATTAATATTTGTTACATAAACTATTATCCTTTGTTGTTTTAAAAATGTACCAACCACTCACACTTTTGTATTTGGGATCAGGACATTAGGATTAAGGGTTAGGGATATAGTTAGGCTGTCTGAATTATTTCATATTCTCTTGGTCCATTGTTCTACACAATGCTTGGTTTCTCATACTTCTGTTTAATTTAAAATTGTTAAAAATTGTTACTTTCAGGGGGGTCGGGGGGGGGGGGGACTAACCATTGAAACGGGGATTGGCATGAGTCTATGATCTGGTGAGTTATTGGCTGGGATGTGGGGGAGGGGGGAGCTGATATAAATCTTGCATGATATTCATGTCCTAGGTGTTAAAACACATAAAAAAAAATACCTTTCCTATTGTAAATTGTACTAATGTTTGTTACAAAAGAACCAACATCCAACATTTACTGTGAACATTTAGGATATGTACATTTGTGTGTAGATATCTTTTGGGTGAAATGTTGTGGTAGATGAGAAATATTTCAAGACTTGTCATCCAAATTTGTCATCTGCTTAGACTTGTCATCTCCTCTACACATGTCATCTTTGCTACACATGTCATCTACTCTATATAAGCATCTACACTTGACTTGTCATATGCTCCCAACGGATCTGTTTTTAATCCACCTCATATTTTCAAGAATTTGTTTAGTCTTGAGTTTAGAATAGTTTGTTTAGAAGCATTGGAGCATCATCCTTTTATGTGGAAAATAAAATAAGTGGTGTAAAAATGTTTTTTTGCTGTGTGGTTTAGGTTCAAAGGTCAAGATCAAAGGAGTAAGTACAGCGCATCTTTGTTTTATTTCAACTCATAATTACATTTGAAATCAGCCAAAAGAATAAAATAGAAAAATACTTATTGTTGAAAAAATTGTAACAAATATTTTTCATAGCAATCACCAGTTTTTTGATGATGTAGCATGGTCATAAATGATGTGGTGTTTAATTTAACACCAGTAAATTTGGTATTAATTTATTGAATGGTAGTTAAACAATGATTGGTTGTTTATGTGCTGTAACCTTGGATGATTGAAACTTATTTAATTAGTTTTTAATGTTGAAGAGTTTTATTTTATTGGGATGGCTGAAAGATGTTTTGAAACAATGTAGCTTTTTGATTAGATAAAAAAAATTCAATTATTTGTAAAGTTGATATGATTGAAAGCTATTAGATATTTAGAACCAGTTTTAGTGGAAGTGTTTTATTATGATGACTGTAGAGTAGATACAGAATTTTTTTGTGATATGTTTTGTACAAAGCCCAAGAAAATAAATATAATTATACAAGTGTGTTCAGTCTTTTGTTTTATTTGTACACCATAATGGCTTCCACTTTTTTTCTTCATTGGTGTCTTTAAGTTAATTGCTCATGTACTGTGAACAGTACATATGGTGTGTTTGTTGATGTTGTGTTATAAGAAATGTGTGAGTGTTGTGTGAGGGGGTGGGGGGTCTATTGTGATGAGGTGGAGTGATTTAAGAAATAAGGGTGTTATAAAATGGTGTTGTGTTTTGTTTTTAGATGGTGAGGTGAGAAGCTCTGAAAAAGAAGGGTGTTATAAAAAGGTGGTGGGGTGTTACAGGAAATGGTGCTCGGTTCTCTGGCAGTTGGTGGGGGTGTTATAGGGGGTGGTGTGGTGTTTTAAAATTGTAAGGAGTTTTCGTGTGGTGAGACGTGGATGTTATGGAAGGGGATGGGGTGCTAAGGTTTATACAGGAGAGGTGGGGGGGAGTATTGCTGGAACTGATGGGGATGTAAGGTATGTAGAGGTAGTCAGGTAGAGGAGGTGGTGGGTGGGGGAGGATATGAAAGGTGGGAGGTTAGGGGTCCATAAATGACGTCACACTCGTAGGGGGGGGGGGGGTCCGTAATTTTATGACGGTGTGTGATGAGGGGAGGGGGGGGGGGGGGTTCAGATGGTGTGACGTCAATTTTTTGCATTATAAAAAAGCAATGGGGGGGGGGGGGTCGCGCTTTTTGTGACAACGTGTGACGGAGGGGAGGGGGGAGGTAAAAATCGTCAAAAAAAGCGTGACGTCATTTATGGATGACCCCTTACACGCCATGGAGTATCCTTCTTGTGCGTGTTAACTACAAAATATCTCCATTAGACAAAAATATACCTTGTGGGTTCCCCCCCCCCCCTCCTGAAGTTAACGATCACGCAAAAAATAAGGGAAGCTATTCAGTAAAATTTAAAAAAAAAACCATTATTTTAATAGGTTATTTCCTCTCTCTCTATAATATACAGTGTTTTTTTTTTAAATTAAAGTTATATAGCGAAATGTCTTTTATTAAAATACTTTTTTCAAGAAAATGGTTACAGTGATTTAAACAACCTACAATAAAAAACAATACTTGAGAAATTTGTCATAATAAAAAATAAAAATTCATAAAAAACGTTTTAATAACAAGCTTTTATGTAATAATGCACTAAAAAGTAGAAAATAAATTATAGAATACTATTTAAATTACTATAAAGAAAAGCGTGGGTCACTTTAGTATCTAGTGCATACCTTTACTAATGTTAAGGAAGACACCCACGCTTTTTTGTAAAATATGATAACACTTTAATACTTTAAGTTTTCAAATATAATATTTATCATTAGGAATTACAAACTTAAAAAATGCAAAAAAAAAGGCTTTGTAACTTTGATTGATACATAGTAAAGTTTTTAAACGTTGGAATTTAATTTAATTTAAATTGTTTTTGTTACTTCCCATTAAAAAAAAAAAATCAAAATATGCAAAGGGACACAACCTGTACCTAAGCTCCAACGAGTTTTAAAAATACTGAAATAAAAAATAGTTTTAAATAAAAATTATTATTTTTTATTGTAAATAAATAATACAATTAAAATATTTAGAACTACAAACTTTTATATTGATTTAGTATTGAACAAGTAAGAAATTCTTATTTTAGGTCACCATAAAATGTAAAAACTACAATAGGTATAAAATACAAAATAGATATATATTTATAATTCGACCTCATCTCGTATGGTTAAGCCTGGAATGCAATATTAAAAAAAAAAAAAAATTATTAAAAAAAACAATTGTTTAAATACACCAGATACTACACAGACAACTAAACCAGCAGAAATGGCTATACTTTCAGAAGAAGAGAGACTTAAACTCAGAGCGAAAAAGTTTGGTGCAGGTTCTTTAGAGGCAAAAAAGAGTTGAGGGCTCAAAGGTTAGGTTTACCTGCAAGTGCCAACAAATCTCCTACAGCATATCTAGCCAGCCCAACTGGAGAGGACATTGATGTTTTTTAAAAAAAGAGAAGATAGGTTTGGTGCAGTGGTGTCATCATCATTAACCAAGGCTGATGAAGAAGAAAGAAAAAGAAAAAGAGCTGAAAGATTTGGAACTCCCACTGATGCTGCTACACCTTCTGGCCTGAAAGTTAGTACCGTCACTTCAACAGATTCAGACATAGAGGCCAAGAAGAAAAAGAGGGCAGAACGATTTGGACTAGCTACATAATGTTAATGGGCAGCTTACAAATCTATGTGCGTTCATCATATTGACCTTTTCTTCATTAATTTAAATATTCACTTAGGATCTTCAATTATTTTAAACTGTTGTAAATTGTTTTAGTTTCCACTGCCATGTATGGTTCTTCATCTTTAAAATTAATGACTGTTTTAAGATTTGAAAAATTTTAAGGTAAAATTTTTAATGTCACAAGAACAAATAAACATACTTGTATGTGAAAAAAAAACAAAAAAAAAACAATTGTAATCTTAAATGAAAGAAAGTAGGCTACATCGGGGGTCGGCACCCTGCGGCTCTTTTGATGTCAAGATGCGGCTCTCGAGTTCCATGCGCAGATGTTATTTATATAATTTTATTTTCGAAACTTATAAAAATATTATCCTGCAAGACTCAGTAACGAACGATATAATAATAAATATAAACACAAGCCATACTTTTAAAATATTTAGTAACTCCCTATTTCAATGGACTTCCATTTAAAGTGTCCATCTCAAATTGAAAAAAAATTCAAATTTCGGTGGCTATCATTTGCTTGAAATAGTGGATTGTTTCGAAAAATAATTACTTGTTTTTATTGAAGTCACGGAAAAATCTGAAAAAAATATCGTGATGAAAACAATGCTACTGTTAACATAAATCACTTCAGCATTACTATCAACAAAATGAATGATATTTTCGCTGAGAGATTTGAGCAACTGAAAACAGAGTCCGTTCATAGTAGATCTTCTCAACACAAAAATAAAAGAGATCAACATTGAGCCACTTGGAATAGAAGTTGACATATGGAAAGCTCTAGATCTTTATGCCAACATATTCGCGCTAACAAGAGTTCTCTTACATGAATATCATAAATAGTTAAGTAAGAAGCCAAGTATCAAAATAAAAATCTAGAGGCGTGCTTGAAACTGAAAACAACAAATTATGAGCCAGGTTTAAACAAACATTTATAAGGCATGCAAGGCCAATGCTCCCATTGATGTAACTACTGTAAATATTCAATTATTATAGTTCTATTATTTGGTTACTAATTTTATTATTTGAGCAGAGATACCTAAAATACTTTAATATATTTTGTGTGAAACATGTGTATTTTTTATTTGAAAAAAAAATTATTTCATATTTTAAAAAATTTATTTAAATTATTTAAAAACTGGCAAATTTTATAAATTGTTACTTTTGGCTCTCCCGTCTCAAAAGGTTGCCGACCCCTGGGCTACATTATAAATTTGTATTACTCCATACAAGCCAATGATGAAAACAGTAGAACTAAAGCCAACTGAAAAAAAAAAGAAGCTTTAGAAGCTAAAATAGAAGGACATTCTTTTACTTTAAACTATAAGGTTAGTACAAATACACGCACATGTAGACAAAATGGCTGATTTGGGTTTTTCCGACTAAGGAAGTTTTAAAACGTCGACAATTGTTTCATTAACGAATTCAATTTTTTTTAAACGTCGAGATTTGTTTAATTAAAGTTACATTTCTTTTTATTATTAATTTTTTTTGCATTTCCCCCTTCGCTTTGTAATTGAGGAAGTAAAAAAATGTAAATGTGTTATACATTGGCACGGTGAAAAAGGACACTGCGCCTGTTTTTGGTGGTGAAACCCAATACTGAAGTGTGAGCACTATTTGTTTGTGT